TGGACATGTCCAGAGGAGGGAAAGTGGCTTTGCTATATCCAGAGGAGAGACAGTGGCTTGGACATGTCCAAAGGAGGGACAGTGGGTATATTGGTAGAAGGATGTTAGAAATGCACCTGCCAGGAAAAAGACAAAGAGGAGATGTGTGGAGGACATGGAGGAGGATGACTCTTTGAAGAGGGAGGAGCCGAAAGAAAAAGACAGTTGTCTCTTCTGGATATTTTAATCCAACTCTAAATGTGCCTCCCCGTCTCATATCTTTTTTGTTTTCGCTGCCGATGGGAAGATAACAGATGGAAGTGGAAGAGCCGCCGTGATCTTCGCCACATGCCAGTCACTCGACTTATCTCCGGGCTTCCAAACAGCGCCGGCTCTCGTAGATTAATGAGCCGTGCATGGCATTCTCGATTAGTTTGACTTCCTTTTGTTTGTGTACATTTTTATTACCTCTCCTCGGTTGGCAGATTGTATCGTTAGCTCTTTTCCTTTTTTGTTGCGCTATTGTGGCCGACGCTGTTCACCATCAATCATGCACGAGTGGTCCCAGTGTGAGGGCCCTCCACCGCACAGTGTGGGCTCTGTGTTAGCCACGGATGCTAATGAGAGATAATGGTTAGTTATTTGTACTCCTAGTGCTTAGCTTAGCTACGAGTCCAGACCTCTTTTTCCGGCCCAGCCCTCTGGCCATTATTCAGCTCTCACACATTTCAGCCGTCAGCGGTGTTTGTGGCGCGCCACAGTCGAGCGTGTAGTGCAGCATGTTGGTGTGTACGGAAAGAGCGCCGCTGGTGGTTGATGAGGGCGGAGATGAAGGGGCGGCTGTGATTTGATTACAGCTCTGCCCCCTGCATCTGTGACAAGCGAGTGCGCTCGTACACACCGGCACGTGCGCCCGCTCTGTTCGTTAACCCCCCATCTTGAGACACAGGCCACCAGCCTCCTCATGAATATTAATCTCAATGTGATGAATGTGGAGAAGACGAAGGGTTGTTGCGTTGGCTGTGACCTCGGATCCATGAAGTGCACAAAAGGGTGCGGCTCAAAGAGACCACTCCAGGTCACGGTAGAGTCTGTTATACTCCCTTTTCTTTCTATGTAAACAGTGGGGGGTGTTATGTGTGTTTTTCATGCCCTGCAGTGTTAAAATGACTTTTGGGAAAATAGATGTACCCATCAGACAACCCCAAGCTGTCCTAATGGTGCCCAGAATTAAAATAACGGGATCTGTATGATTTCCACAAGTATTTCTAATTGTCAGGTGATGATTCTGTCAAAAACAGCTCCCCACTAAATTTACAGATGCCTTATGTCACAGAACACCAAGGAGGGTCAGTTTCTATACTCCCCTAGAAAGATTGACGTATTACCGGATAGTCTCCATACGAACGAAAACTTCCACAACTTTTGATCCTCTCAAGATATTTTAACAAAACTTGATGGACGCATGCATCATAACTAGATGGCTTGTCGAGCAATCCTTTAATCATCCCAGCTTCAAGGTCACAAATCAAGATCAAGGGCTATACAAGGTCTGTGCTTTTCTGGGTCGTTGCTACAGATTGCTGTATAATAGTCGGTCGATGCGTATAATGTGTAGCATGCAGTACTGTTGTTAATGTGTGGATTAGGTACCAAAAGCAGATGAAAGGCAGTACAAAACAAAAACTGGACAAGTGAATACTTTTATTATTGTCCAAAGCAATTTTATTCACGGATTGTGGCACTTACTTGATTAACCTGGCATTTCATGTCTGTCTTCTTGCATTGTTCGTGTCTTACTTTTCATAGCTCACGTCATTTCATATGTTGTAGCTCAGCTAATCTCTTGTCTCAAATGTCTAATCTCATGTCTTACCGTTCATACCTCCTGTCTCATTTCGTTTCATTGCTCTTATTTGCCATTTTATGCATTCCTAATATGTTGCAACCATCGCTCTCATACGTTTCCACGTTGGACAAACTGTCCAGATCAGAGTACTACCAGCAAGTGGCTTGTGTATACACTATAACTTCTGATTGTGAGGCCTCCTGTGTGTGCGTACAGAGTTTTCATTGAGATTTATTCTGGTGAACAGATTAAACTGTGCAACACAAAGATTGTAATGCTTTTTTGGCTCAGAAAGCTCATTACTCTACGTCCCAGGTTTGCAGCTGAAATTTGAATGTTCTACCTCTGTGACCATTCTCTCCAGTTTTGTTGATCTCCACCAGGAAGAGAATTAAATTAATGTAGAATAAATTAGTTTATTCTGCGAGCCACTCCTTGTTCCAAAACACGAAGCAATCCACACTGATCTTTTTATATTTTAATGAAAAGAAACAAAACTCAAACTCGCCTTCCACTTCTGGAAAGAAAAACAATAACTTCGTGGGAAATTAAACTAAATGAATGGAATATTTTATCCAACTCTCCTTAATTATCTCGCCTAATTGCTGCTTCTTGGACACCCCCGAACCTTTGGTGTTCCTTTTCCAAACGCTGAAATGCAAATGTAAGAGCTCACATCTCAGCTGGTCTCCGATCCTCTGAAATCAGCTCTGAAATCCCTCTCCTGAGACAAGGGACTACCCTGGCGGAGTCGAGCCCGCACTGAGAACGAGCTTGACTTCGAGCCAAGAATACGCATACATCTGCTTCAGGTCTACAGGGACCGGATAGCTCTTAAAATCAACGCTGGCACCCAATACCCCTGTGACATTCCCCACAGAATACCTTTGAGATCATGGTTGTAAACCTTCTCCAGGTCCAGAAAACACACGTAGACTCGACAGTCCAACTCTTACAACCCCTTTAACAACTTGCAAGGGTAAAGATCTGGTTCACTGTTCTACAACGAGGTGAAAACAACGCTGCTCCTCCTGAATCCGAGGTTTGACTGTCCTAGCCTCCCTTCCAACACCCTGGAGTAAACTTTCAACGTAGTACAAGCCAAACTGTCTGGAGTCTTAGCATCGTTTGCTTCATAACAGCTGGGGGCCGAGATGGTGTAGAGGCAGGGCAGCCGGCTTGGGACCCAACAGTCCCAGGTTCGATCCCCAGTCACTGCACATCACGTGGCGTCTCTGGGCAGCACACCTCATCCCCAAAATGTCCCCCGGGCGCTTTCAATAGCTGCCCACTGCACCACCTGGTGGTGGATGGGTTAAATGCAGAGACTAATTTCGCCATTGTATGGAAACATACAGTGCTGACATTGTGATGACATTATTATTATTATTATTATTATTATAAAGAACCACTAATGTCTGACCAATAATAATGTGAGAATCTATAGTTTTTAATGCTCGAATACCAGTTTTATTTACTCCAGTTTAACTCCACATTTAATTCACGCTTCAGCAATCGTAACGTTGGCCATCTTTGTTGTCTACAAAGATGCAGTGCAAGCCGAGATTTTTAATCTCGAAATTTAAAATGAAATGAAATGTAGATTTTGTTTCCAGGAGCTCTAAGAGTTGTCATAAGTTAGGTCTGAAATAATTTCTTAGAAGTTAAATGTCATCACCGTGTGTCAGACGACAATAAGGCATTACTTAAAACCTGCAGGAATAAAAAAAAAGATAAAAAGTTGGGTGAATGGGACGTGATTGCGAGGCGCAGACGTGCTGATTAGCCTTTGATGCTTTGTGGCTTCGTTCACCTCTCTCCTCCTTTACCCCCTCATTCACCACCACCTCGAGCTGCGTCTGACG